GGAAAAAAAAAAAATAGGCAAAAGGCGCGGAAAAAAAAAAAAAAAAAAAAAAAAATGGTAAAATTCAGGGACAAATGGCTCCTAGATCAGTTTCCACCTCATTTTCTATCATTTCCACAATTATTTTTTAAATTGACCAAACAAATCAGAGGGCAATGAAGCCCAAAACACTTGCACAAGATCTAAATTTAGTTCACTTTGTACATTGCTCCTTTTTACCAAAAGCTCTTTTGTGGAAACTGCGGCAGAACTCATTCCATGCATCTCTCAACTTTCCATTTTACACGTAGTTCTGTTGGACTTCATAAGGATAGGAAATGAAAGGGAGGAAAAATGAATCTGAACCCATAACTGTTTCCATACAATAACATTACTCACTTGTTTCACATTTTCTGCCAAGAATACAACATAAACACTACAAAATCCCAGCTGCGTTATCACTAGGAAGAAGTCAACAATATACCTGAGGAAGAAAAAACAAACAAATATCATACTTAGGATCCAAACAATTTACCCATTTCTACCTAATATGCAATGACTGCTCCTTTTCACAGTAGTCAAAATGCTAGATTCAAATGCCACATTCATCTCAAGAGCACTGCAATGAAGGCTCCTCTTATACAGTGGATTTGTATGTGGTTTTGGGGTTTTTTTGAGAAACTTTGATGCCTACTGAATGTTACCTTAAAAACCAAAGGAGGTACTCATATTTTAAAGTGGCATAAAATGAAATTCAAAGACTTAATAACGTGGTACAAAATCTAAACAACAGACATACATATTCAATGCACACATAAATTCTGCTGGCATCCGTTAGCCCCTAACAGCAGTTTTCCTCCAGGACCAGAGATGAAACGTGTCATACAGTCTAAGCTACCTAAATTTCAGCAATTCAAGATAACAAACATTTTCACATCTTACTAAGTGAGTCTATATCAATGTATCCAAATACACATTCAGACGCTGTATCTCAAATTATGGTTCAGATTGTTTTGAAAAATGTTATACGTGGTGGTGGCCTGAGGACAGGCGGTAATGAAACTCTTTGCTAGAGTCAGGCATACAGCAGAGATCTTGCCTTGGAGAATGGATTTGCTGCAGCACAGTGTCTCTGGAAATCAAATTGTTGTTTGTGGCTTCCAACTCTTTGGTGCATTACAGAATTGTCATTATATTTCACTACAAACCAATTTTCCCTCTAATTGAGCTCTACTCCATTCCTACAAAGTCATCACACAAGATCTTAAAAAAGTAGCTCACCTTTTTCTTATTGAAAACAGCAGTAGCCAAAATGCTACATGATACAAATTGCTGCATCCTTGAAAATAACAGGACCAAAAATAATTCCTCCTCAAATGAGGAAAAAAAAAGCACTTTAAATTAATGTTGAATAACATGTCTAAGTTTGAGTTTCACTACTGTGTAGTCATACCATGGACTCCATAAACAGCTATACAGCAGCAAATATGGCGAAGAAAAAATAATGGTATTTTTTAAAGGGCATAAAGTATTTAAGAGAGAAAACAAGCTATTCATATCTGTGTGACATTATTGCAAAATATAGAAAATACCTCTCTATTATTTGTATGTTATATTTAAACAGGAATCAAAAAATTGCTTTGATTCCTTTCAGAATAAACGTACTGAAGTAAGTCACATTTGCAGCATCAACCTGCTTAAACGGTGAACTCTGATGCAGAGAAATGTGTTTATGGTAAAAAAGAATGAAAACTTAATTACTTCACTACATTAGACACTACAGAACGCATTTCTGGTTATACATTATCTCTTCCTCTATGACTAAACAGAATTCTCCTCACAGCTCTTGGGCACCTGAAAATTTAAATGCCTAAGAGAGAGAGACACTCTCAGTCCTCCCATGTAACCACTACAAGCTGGCTGCAGGAAATAACAAGTAACACTGCATAAAAATATTTCAAGCATGGAGAACACATTCTCAAAGCAGATAACTTCTTAGTAAAACGGAAATCTCCTAACAATTCCAAGTGTAGCCATTAATTTTTAACAGGAAAATTATTAAATTAAATTACATTCTAATGCAAACTCACCGTCCCCATGAAGCTCGTTTCTGAAGCGCAGTCAGAGGCCCCACTTCCATGGCGTAACTAACGGTATCGCTATACCCCAGTGAGGATTTTTTCATCCTGAAATCAAAGAGTAAAGAAAGAATGGAGTTTCTAGAAACTATGAAGGCATAAGTCCCTAGTTTGAAAATGCTGATGACCTCCCAGGGTTATAATAAGTAATCACCTATGCCACCACTCTGCAGCTGCTGAATTTTAGACATATTGTTTGGGCTTCTTTCCCCCAAGAAGGACTATTGAGCACTCTACAAGCATGTGAGCCACAATGCTGCTTCCTCCTAATTCAATAGTACTAGACAAGTTTCTTACAGAACAAGTTTCTTGATAAATTAATAAAAAATTAGATTCTTATATCATCAGCTTAAGAAATGAATCTCAAATTTAAAATTCACAAAGAACTTCAACAGAATTCAACAGATTATCCTGGGCAAGCAGTCAATCGCAATTATTTCAGTGACCTGAGTCTTATGCACCTCTTAAAGGGCCATTCAAAACTACAGAGGAAAAAGTGAAGAATTCAGGAATGACAGGATCCCTTCACAGTACAATATCATGTTAAAATGATAAAATAGTTTTTCCAGCTGCAGGGACAGGAACGGGTTTATGTTTCAATCCAGTTCAAAAACTTCCTTGCACTGTTCAAATACAAGACCCTCCCTCTGCTTCTCTTTTAACACTTTTAAAGTAAAATGTTTAATAAAAGTCACTGTTAATCAAAATACTCCATCAAATTTGAATAACTGCTTCCCTCCAGTATTGTACATCTTTCTTGGAGGGATATCTAGTGTTTAGCCACTGACTAACATTATTTTAAAACATTCCTTCAGCACCACAATTTTGAATAATCAAGTTGTCACAATCCAAAGAGACAGAGCTTGTGTATAATCACTGAAGACGTTAACAGCAATTCTTAGTTTATCTTTTATTCCTATAAAGTATTTATAAACTGGCTGTTTATAAATTGGACACTTTTGAAAGCTATGAAGATTCAGAGCTATGAAGATAGCTATGAAAAAAGGCTAATGGACTGAAGCTTAGCAATTAAAACCACAATGAGGAAGATCTGATTATTTGCCAGATAAGACAGGGAACAGGATATCAGGCAATACAAGTTAAACCAACTTAATTTTGTGTATGAACAGAGAAAAAATAATTTTTTCAATGTATTAAAGCAGTGCTACACAAAGCACATCTATCATTTATAGTACATCTATAATTTATAGTTGCACAATAAGAATTTGCCTGTTGTTTCTTTGAAGTACAAGATCCTTATCTGAAGAAATTGCTACAACATCAGGACATTCTGTATGCCAAAAATTAGAAATAGAAAAGAAGAAAGAAAAAAGTAATACTCAAACTCAGCAACAGAATATTTCCACATTTACCTCTGACACAGACAGTGGCTGCAACGTACCAAGATGTGCATACAATGAACAGATATAATTCCTATGAACACAAGGCTGATCGGTCCAATCTGGTATGGGGAGAAAAAAAAAAAAAGGGGAGGTCATGAGAGATAAACAGAATTTTTCATGAAAATATGCTGGGTGAAAAATCTTTGCATGCAGAAGTTTCACATTGTAGCAAATAGATTAAGAATTAAAAACCTTATGCAACGGAACTGTTTTCCCCTCTCAGAGGGGGATTTGCTACTGATGTTTTATGGTATTCCTTACTTTTAGCTCACTACTTGACAGAAGGCTACTCAGGGTGATCAAGCCATAAAAAACAAATGGGCGTGAACAGCTTTACTCCTCCAACAGTTTTAAGATATTTACCAAAAAAATTTGTCAAGAGAGAAGACTGCATATACCACACAATTTGAAAGAATGGTTTCAACTACTTTACAGTTGCAACGACAATAAGTTTCTTTCCCTTACGTTAGATGACTTGGTGACGTGCAGTACCAAAAAAAAAAAATAAACAACCCACAAAACCACACTTTACTAATAACTTCTACTTTTACAAGTTACAGATAATTTTCAAAGTAAATAATATGTGTCAGAGTAGAAGTTTGACCAAAAGTTTTCACAAAAGGCACTTGATTTCACATGTATCTTTCATTCTTAAACTGAACATTCTATAATAAAGAACTACAGGGTTATTTGGTCACAAAGTGAAAATTTCACTTAATTAAATTTACCCTGCCTTAGGAAAAGCATTGCTTGTTACTGGTATAAACAAGTTGTGCTATACCCTGTTTCTACACAAACACAAGATTGATTTAACAAGCTGATGCTGCACCCGAAGACATACAATCTGGCTCCAGAGAAGTTTGGACAAAGATAAGACAATCCCATAATAACAATTCCCATGAGACCCCATAGGAGTCTGAGTGAATAAAAATGTTTCTTTTTTCTGACAAAGCTTTTGTTTTCACCAAAAAAATACTTCAGCTAAGCAAAAATACAACACATGCAATAAAGTCTTCAGGATGAAGTAGTAACTTTAAAAAAACCTGAAACCAAAAAAACAACTCAATCTTCAGTACTAACTTCACCAGACTAAAGAGGAAAAATACAGCACAACTCTGTTGAAGTTGGTAGTGAGAAACAAAAAGCACTGAGATTTTAGCTTTTCAGGCTCATACACATCTGTAGATCATACTAGATAATTTTTCTAATCTATGAAAAATAATTGAATTCTTACCACAATGCCAGCATTTTTTATTGCAAGGGGAAGACCAAGAAGCCCAGTTCCAATGTTTCCCTTGAGAAGATGTGTAAGTGTTTGAATAAATCTGAAGATAAAAATATAAAAAGGCATATCAGAATTACACGGAGATGGGGCAAGGGCTGGGGGGGGCAGGAAAAAAGAAAAACCAAAACCACACCCTCTGCCATGTACTAATAAAGGGATAAATTGTGAGCTTCAACTACTTTAAGGTGGTCTGGCTATTTTAAAGAATGTCCAGCACGTCCAAATAATGTTCTTGGTCATCTTTACATGTGAGGTCCCTCAAATAGAACATACAAGTCCAATCCTCAGCTCCTTCCTCCAGCTCATGAAAGGTTATTTTCTGTGTAATTTTATTGTCCTTTTGCCTCAAAGTCAAAATTACCAAGTTTCATCAACACTATTTTGGAATAAATAACATTCAAAACAATTACCAGCTGCAAATCACAAGTCTGACAGCCAAAGCTTCACAAGGTTTTTACAAACTTTCTAAAGTCTTCTAAAGTTTCTTTACAAAAAAAACCAAAATCAATCAAAACTTTCTTTAAATAGTGCTTTGATTTTCAGTAACCCCATCGATTTACAAATGGGTACCTTGGAACATTTTATGTCCAGTACACTGTTAAATTCCACAGAACAGAGAACCTACTCAAAATGGGCTGCTTTTCGGCAGAACTTTGCAAAGTCCTGATGTATAATCACAAAACCGTAGTGCAGGTGCAAGAAAATCACATAAGAGTTCAGTGAACCGTTCATGAGAAACAGGTTGGAGGAAACAAATTTTAACAAGCTGATACTTAAGTGTAATACATACGTAATGCCTTCTTCATGATCCAGCTGGTAATGCTTCTCAACTGGCAGGAAATTATTTTCATGCTCTTCATCCGAGATGCCATCTGAATTTTGTTCTTCAATTAAAGGCTTCATTACTTCCATGTCTGTACAACAGTTAACACTAGGTTAGCACTAGAAACAATCTTATAGTTTAGTTTAGAAGTAAAACATGACTCAAACTTCTCATGCTTTTTACACGTGTTACTAACTACAAAGTTGATTTAGGCAGATAGGTATGTACAGCACAAGTTTGCACATGAAATTCTCTCTCTTTAAAGTGGCACACCATCTCATTATCATCATCATTATCATGGCCAAACCCTACAGTTTTTCATTACAAAAACCAACTTTGTATCATAAAAATGTTGATGTTTAGATCATTTTGTATGCTCATCCAACACAAGGCAAAACAGAAAAGTCACCCATTGTTACAAAAAGATTAGATGCATCTTATCTGCCATTAGCTACTGCAAAACTAGGCATTTAGTCTACTCTTATCAGTGGTGGGCAAGGGCACTCAGTCATCTCATCCTAAAATGGATGGGTAAGACAGGCACCATGAAAGATCTCACCAGTGACTGGAGAACCAGATGAAGGACTTAGGCTGCATACTTTGAAAGCTGCAATTGCATGAACCTTTTAAAGTAGCAAAAACTACCACCACAGTCAACAACAAATGCAATTCCATCACCCAGTGAAATAACAGCGCCAGGCAACAGCAAGCAACCAGTAGCAAACAAAATTGCCTTTCAGGCAAAACCAACAGCTTACGCCAGTTTAATCTTGATTAAATCACAAACATTTTTAAACTACTACAGTTAAGCAAAACAAATCCTACAAGACAGAAAAGATTATTTATCTTGCCTACCACAGTATCCATTCATTAAGTGTTGAGTTAGTCTCAACTCCCATCATCTTCACACAAAAAAAAGAAAAACCTGTGTTTCTAACATTTTCTATTTAAAAAAATATATTACTGAGTAATTTTTGAGTGTGCAAGAGCACACTCTGCCCAACTGTTACATTATTTACAGAACTCAAAACATTGAAGAATACCAGAAGAGACATTACTTGCCTCTCCATTAATGTCTCCATTAATATCAGTAACCACTGTACTTATCAGGAAAGCCTCCCGGAGAAAAAGCAGGACACTTGGGTGGTAGACTACTACTCTACCTGGTACTGGTAATAGTAAACTTGAATTTTAAGAAGATGTCTACACAAGCAAATGCAGTTTTTAAGAATTATCTTTCACTTAGGATTTTCACAATACAATTTACTCCTCAAGATTGCAACCAATCATGCAACTGACTCGAAAGATAACCAGCTTCTCCACCAAAAGAGGTTATATTCAAAGCTTTTTAGTCCATACACATAACCCAATATAAATTTCTAAAGGTTTATGACCTTTAAAGATCAGCTATTCCAAACCCTCCTGCTGTGGGCTGTAACACCTTTCACTAGACCAGGTTGCTCAAAGCCCTGTCCAACCTGACCTTGAACACTTCCAATGATGGGGCATCCACAGCTTCTCTGAGCAACCTATGCCATCGTCTCACTACCCTCAGCCTAAAAAAAACTCCTCCTCATGTCCAATCTAAATCTACCCTCTTTCAGTTTAAAACCCTTCCCCCTTCTCTTGTCATTATACACTCTGGTAAAAAGAGTGCTCGCACTGGAGTTGTCTGAACCCCAGCACAGCACACAGCCTCACAACTGAGAAAAACAACTGTAAGCATGTGCTCTTGGCATTATTCCTTATTCCAACTTTAGACCACTTCAAACCTCACTGTGCTCCTTTATCACTGCAAGGGCTTCCACACTACCCAAGCATCTTACCCCAAAAGGAAGACGACAGTGAATTTTATACAGCCCCCGCTATTATAACTTAATCCACTTGGGTAAAGTACCTGACCATCCTTTCTGGTAAAAAAATGGTGTCTAAGTACATTTATCATGGTGGTTTGAATATTTATTTCCAAGTCCTAGGGAGGTATAAGCTGCGGATTTCTCAGTATCTGGTTTTCTGCAACATTGGGCTATTTTATTAGTGTCACTTATGCAACAAAACATCCCAATTTCATACTCAATTGCCTTCTCACCTGAAAGCCGTGAGCTATCACTGGTAACGAGGGAAAAGCAACGCATCAGAAAAAATACTTTGAAAAACCCCATTAAAGTTTTATTCACGAAGCGGCTTGATGTACAAGGCGACGTATCTCATAGAAAACTGGAGTCCCAACAGCACGGACCCTCCGATTTTAAAGGAGCAGCTGCTGTTCTGCAGTCACTACATGCAAGAAGTGAAAGTTTTCTGCACACGTACCAGTTTCTGTTACATATCACAGTTACCTACATTCTGCTTTCAGTACACATCAGCCTAACCTGCCCATGATCATAGCTTTCTTCGGTGTATGAGTGGATGGATAGATGAGGGGAAGGGGGGGATGTTGTCTACCTTGACTTCAGCAAGGCTTCTGACACAGTCTCCCACAGCATCCTCAAGGGTAAGCTCAGGAAGCGTGGGTTAGATGAATGGACAGTGAGGTGGATTGAAAACTGGCTGAACAACAGAGCTCAGAGGGTCGTGATCAGTGGCACAGAATCTAGTCAGAGGTCCGTAACAAGTGGGGTTCCCCAGGGGTCAGTACTGGGTCCAGTCCTCTTCAATATAGTCATCAATGACCTGGACGAGGGGATGGAACATACCCTCAGCAAGTTTGCTGATGATACAAAACTGGGAGGGGTGGCTGAGACACCAGAAGGCTGTGCCACCATACAGTGAGACCTGGACAGGCTGGAGAGTTGGGCAGAGAGGAACCTGATGAAATTCAACAAAGGCAAGTGTAGGGTGATGCACCCATGGAGGAATAACACCCTGCACCAGTACAGGTTGGGGGCTGGCCTGCTGGAGAGCAGCTCTGAGGAAAAAGGCCTGGGAGTCCTGGTGGACAACAGGATGACCATGAGCCAGCAATGTGCCCTTGTGGCCAAGAAGGCCAAAAATGGCATCCTGGGGTGCATCAGGAAGAGTGTGACCAGCAGGTTGAGAGAGGTTACCCTGCCCCTCTACTCTGCCCTGATGAGGCCCCACCTAGAGTACTGTGTCCTGCTCTGGGCTCCCCAGTTCAAGAAGGACAGGGAACTGCTGGAGAGGGTACAGCAGAGGGCTACAAAGAGGATTATGGGCCTGGAGCATCTTCCTTACGAGGAAAGGCTGAGGGACTTGGGACTTTTTAGTCTAGAGAAGAGAAGACTGAGAGGGGATCTGATCAATGCTTATAAATACTTAAAGGATGGGTGTCAAGAGGAAGGGGCCAGTCTTTTTTCAGTGGTGCTCAGTGACAGGACAAGATGAAATAGGCACAAACTTGAACATAGAAAGTTCCATCTAAACATGAGGAGGAACTTCTTTACTCTGAGGGTGGCAGAGCAGTGGAACAGGCTGCCCAGGGAGGTGGGGGAGTCTCCTTCTCTGGAGACATTCAAAACCCACCTGGACATGTTCCTGTGCAACCTGCTCTAGGTGGACCTGCTTAGGCAGGAGGGTTGGACTAGATGATCTCCAGAGGTCCCTTCCAACCCCATATCATTCCGTGATTCTACAATCATCATTGGTCTACAGGTTGAAATGAATGAAGACTGTCAATAAAAGTTAATAGGGTGGCAGAATCTTAGGCATTTCTTTAAACATGCTTCTTTCAAGCATAGCTAAGCAGAAGCAGCCAGAAAACAATCATGTGCTCAGTATTTCCAATTTTGTATTTTCACGTGTATTTTTCAGTCTCCTAGAAATTGCCAGTATCTTGTCCACATCAATGGACATACTGCCAAAGAAACCTTTGAACTGTTACTAAATGTACTTTATTGTAAAGCTTTTATAGCACACTTAAGTAATCTTTTGATTCAAAAGCTCTGCAAAGAAATGAATTTTCACCAAGAACTTTAGTTAATTTTTCTATATTGTTCAAGCAATTAACACTTCCAAAATTAACTGAACGTCTTAGCACCACAAGGGATAAAAAACTGATCTCCGTCATTTTCATTTTATGGGTGAAACAAAGGCAAAAGGACAAAGCAGTTTGCCAGGGCTGCACAGCAAGTTAAAAGCAAAGGAGATACTAAAAACAAAGCCAAATACAATCTCCCATTGTTCCTTTGGAGGTCACCTCCCAGACAAACTTCTATCTGAAACCCCTTTTCCAAATCCAATTTAGCAGTACAGTCTGGTTTTGTTTGGTTTTTTTTTTTAACTGGAGGGTTTTGAAGTCAGTGTAATTGAGTAGAATTGGATTTGTCATAGAAGCATAAAAAGATTTGGGGGACAGGATATAGTTTATCACTGTTTACACCAGCTGTTTTTTTACTCATTTATGGGAGAAGGAACATAGAGATCTTGTTGGAGCACCACTTCACACGTATATTAAATGCTTGGCAAAAAGCAGGAGGCAAAACGGGTCTTGCAGATACTTCACTGCTCAGTCACAGCTTCTCCAGAGAACACGGCCAGAAACACAGCACAAGATTCGCAGAGAAATGTGAAATGTGTCTATTAAATAGAGGGTAACCCAGTGCCCGCTGTAAGAGGGATACAGATTCAATTTAAAAAGCAGCTTTTTTGAATGCTGTACAAGAGAAAATCAGAACCACATAATCTTTATGCTAGCCTAAAATGTGGGCTTAGGCTAATATTTTCTCTCAGGCTATAGAATGCCATATTCAGGATCCAGAGGGAGAGCCCTGTCACCTAACCAACCTGTGGCTGCTCTCATGGGACAAGATCAGCGACCAAATCTCTGAACAGCAGAGCTTTCCAATTCAGAGTTCTGAACCAGGGCTCTCAAGAAAAAACTAGTTACAAAGAAAACATTGTCACTGATTAGTTTTAGAATCTGCAGCTGGTTCAGGAAGCAGCTCACTGTGTAACCCTCAGTTACTCCCTCAACCACAGAAAGAAATACCTGTTTCACCACTCCCCAAGCTTCAGCCTATAAATACCCTTCCCACCACTCCTCCAGAAGGCACTAAACTGTAAAATACAGCATTGTCCACCAAACACACGTGAGCCTGGCAGGATCTGCCACGTTACTCGGTCACAAGCTTCCACAACTGCCAAAGAAATGACAGACCACCACAAAGTGACTATGAATGGTAGTGCTAGGGGCAGGCTTGTCCAGGTTGATAAATTTTTGTAACTTCTTCTAGTTCCAGGGGCAGCTAACAGGTAGTCCCATTCGACCATACACAAATCAGCTCCCTTTTTATTTTCCACTACCACAATTCCTGTATTTTCCAGAATGAAAATTAAAAAGGAAAACTCTTTTGGTTTAAAAGTTCCTATTAAATACTAATAATTACATTTTCCAGAATAGTAAGTTACCTTTTTACACTTTTGTTGTGTGTGTTTGTTTTCCAAGAACTTTAAGGATATGCTTGGTGCAGTTACTTGAATCACTCTATTTTTCTTTGGAAAATATAAATTTGTGTCATTTATTTCTCTCCATTACAGACAGTAACTTAATAAAGTAGATTTATTCACTTTTATGGTAGAGTTTATTAATCTTGAGAACGGTTATTTCTAAACAAATGCTGAAAGTCAATAATGCCACTCAGGAAGCAGGAAAAACTGTTTGCTTTCGCACCGCAGCTGTCAAATCCAGCAGGATAATAAAACGAGACACTGGAGTTATTAAACCAAAGCGTACGTAGGTCTCCATAGTTTGTTACACACTTCCAGAGGAACCCTTTTACCCCAACGCACAATGGATCATTTATTTAGAAAGATGTTAGACTTAAATAATTCACTGTCCTGTCTAGACCAAGCTACGCATTTCTACATGATTAATGCACTTTCAAGAGATGACACATCAGTAGGACTTACAATTTTATTAAGTATTTAAAATACTTCTGAAACCTTATCAAGTGTTTATCTGCATTTCTTAATAGTTAATCGCCTAAAAAAATCTGGTTCTAAAGGTTCTGACAAACTCTAGCAAATCTGTGAACTATAGCAAAAAGAACCTAAAATTTCTTTCTGCCACCCTTGCTCCAGAGTGGCAACCTCTCACTGCACTATGGATCAGCCTCTGGGGCAATAAAATCTGAAGCATGTCTCCTGCTTTCCATCATTACCACTGGGAAGAAGAAACTCTCCAGGTTACAGTGGAGCACAGCTCTGAGGCAAGACTTTCAGTCTGCCCAGCCCACAACCAGCTCTACTTTATAACTAAACCTGCTACGACTTATCTCTTGTCTATTTATGGATAGATAAGTTAAGAGATGAAGATATATGTGCCCACACACCCACAGATTTCAAGGTCTGAAGAATAACCTGCATAAGTACAGCTAATATACTAACACATATACCCCTAAAAAAAAAAAAAAAAAAAAAAAGCAGGATACGCCAGCAGGGCTGTGTTGTTTCTAAAGGAAGGACGGGTCCAGGCGCTGCTCAGTTACATCAGGACAACTCCTTTCTGACTGCAGGAGGCTGCTCTAACAGGTTTAACGCCAGCACA